CGCTTCTGCCATGATAATTTATCGATCCGCCTACGTAAGTCGAGATTCCATTAGTAACTTATTAATAGCGGTTCCGCGGCGCAAGCGGCGCAGGCCGGAGAGGCGGCGGCACAGGCGGCAAAGGGGCCGCCGCATCGATCAAATGCTCTCGCAAGTGGCGTGTTTACATTTATCCTGAAACGTCCATCTTATGCCGCGACTACGCTACGGCGTTCTTGGCTCTACACCTTTCATAAGTCCTCGGGTAGCCCTACCGAGAGTGACTGACGTGCCGGAGAAAAAAATAAAATCAGAGTTTAGTACGGGGGTTGAATAGGACATAAAAACTTTTGTTATTACCGTTATTATCACTGGTAAATAGTCACGAAAGAAAGACTCGAAGTTACGTACAGAGTTCATGTAGAGGAGTTATAATTTTCTTAGCTGTTCTTAAGGCGTCAATTAGTTTGACTCTATACGGACGTTACTTATATGTACTTGGGCTAGTTTTTAATCAGCGATTAACCGGGACGTTACGGCTTTAGACTTTTTGTAAAGGTGTGGAGAATCGCGATCATCGTCATAGCTGAATGCGCTTCTTTGAAACTTTTCCTTTTAGAGCCTTTGGCATACCTGTCTATACCTAAGAGAAAAATCGTTCCAGATATAGACACTGATAATTTTTAAAAATCAAAATTGCCCTGATGAAAATATTCTATTCCGGATTGCATCGAGATGCGTCGAGTCACGAATCGAGTAAATTCATTCTTTGGTAATTGGACGTACGTCAGCGTAACACGTAAATAATTCCCTCGAGAGAAAACTGCAAGTGCAGAACAAAGATGCAGGTTGGGATGAATAAAGAGGATCAAGATCAAGAGAAGATGGGTCGCTTGAGGAGATGTGGAAATTGGTGGCTCGCGCGGGCGGCTTCTTATCAGCACGCGTTACGCATTTCGCATGCCTTCAGTGCTTATGGTGCTTACGTTGGCGTAGGTGGTTGTACGTGTCTCTACGTATTTGACACGTAGCCACGTACGTATTTCACGTGCGGCAAGAAGGTATTGGCAAGCCGCCTAGAGGCATCATTACCGGCATTGGGAGCAGCTTGACGCGTAATGCATGCAGCCACTGATCACAAACACAAGCAACATACCGATGACTGTATAACAGTTTATACGTGGACTCCACGTGTTGCGGAGTGTGTGCAGTGAACTGGGTCGGCCGGTGTCCTCAAGATTGCCGCGAGATGAGAGAAAGTCCTCTTCGATGGAATAAGCGAGTGAGCGAGATTCTCTTTGAGTTTGCTCCCACGCTGATTCTTCTTCTTTTTTTTTTTGTAATGCTTTTTCAATTTGTTGATCATACTCATTTGTCGTTATACGTAGCTGTAGGAGATGGGTAATGATTTTTCGTAATTCGTGATAACGATTTATTAGGATCTACGTTTAAAATACGTCTGATAATGCTTCACCGACGACATGAGAAACTTCTCGCCTGATGATATCCTACTCTGATCTTGGGTCACGTATGAGTATGTGGTGAATGCTGCTAATTCACTTGTACGAACTCACATGCGAATTTGTCCCTGGGGCTAGAAATGATATCGAATAGTCAGAGGACGTAAGAATTTGATTGGTTGAATTGTCCAATGAATAATGCAAATACATATGGATATCTTTATGATGACAGATTCTATGGAAGCTGTGTGTACCATATTGATTATTACGTCTGGAATGTATAATGAGCGTTGCCTCGGAGTATTGATGATTCGAATGCTCTTTATTTGAAAAATAATTAGAACACTCATTAATCCTAGGTGGGAGGCACTTTGGTCCGTAGTAAAGTTTTGTATAGTGCCGTGTAGAAAATAAACTTAAGTAGAATAGAAGGTATCATCGAGGAAAGATGTGCCGGTCAAACCTTTGCCATTAATATCTAGAAGGTCTGGTTGAAGACCAGAGGGGGTCCGTGGACCCCACGTTGAGTGAGTTTGTGATTAAATGATCATTTTTTTCTTAAATGATAAAGGATCCACTGCGTCCCTCTTCTATTCCAGCTCGATTACCGCAAGCTGCATTAAAACCAATAGGACCGCGAGTGGTCTGAGGAGAAGTCACCTTTTTTTTTTTTTTTTTCAAGGCTTCAACGTTATTCGACTGATATGCGATATGCGTTCGTATTCGGTTGTCGATCAAATTCCCTAGCTTTCCATCGGTTAATTGATCGGTTACCAAACCGATAATTGGAATAGTAAACGTTCGCTTAGAACTTTATTGCTGAAAGATAGATGGTCCACGCTTAAAAAATCTCATCCGTATCTTCTTCAAGATACAAAACCGTAATGCAACCTATATTCTAAAGCGTAACAGACGAACCAGAGTTTAATACCGAAGACAATAGCACGCAAGTGCCTTAGCCAGGAAGAATGAAGATCGCGGCTCAGATCCCCTATACAGTAGCCAAGACAAATGTGGGCGAAAGCAATGTCCGCTTGTGAATATGTTCATTCTGGGAAAGAGGCGAGTGTCATATTTGTTCATGTAAAGCGTAGTAACTCTTACGTCACGGACGTCTTTATTGCATTGTTCTGGCCAATGGGAATCGTAAGAAATAAAAGGAGCAATCATCGGGCATAAACCCCAGTAAAAAGTGGAGAGTCGGTTCATTCCGACATAGCAAAGCCACGAGAGAAAAAGACGAACAAGTTCGAGGAATACAACAATCCAATCTTTTTCGGTCCAATAGTGATTCTGCAAAACTCCCCTGTCCTTCCACTATTGGTAGCAGCAATGACTTTAACGGTACTGCGTTTCATCGTGATAGCCGAACATTCCCATAATCCCAGGACACGCTACTCGCTGACCACGGATGGGAAAGGAGACAAATCCGCAGGATGTCCAAGGATACACATCGTCCAAGGATTATCCTCGGTTCATTTAACACCCAGAGTGCCGTCGTTGCACACATGACTGGCATCGTGCTCGCCTTAGGACTACACGATACGAGTCTGTATACCAGAAGGGTATAAATCTCGAATACTTGGGGCTCCTCTTTACCGACCCAGGAATCGAATCCTTCCAGGAGACGCGTTACGTGCCCTGGCGCACCGCAGCGGGGCCATAATTATTCTACCTGTGGAATATACAGTACACATAAAGCATGACACATTGTACTCTCTCACGATACTTACTTGCATAAGGACACACTTGATACGAGCACGTTCGGTATGAAAAAGTGCACCGTGAAACGTACGGTTAATAACTGGATATATTGTACTACACGTGCGCAGTTAATTCAAAAATTGACATGAGCAATTCCTATGGGAAGAGTATCAAGCATTGCTGTTATCTTGACACTTGATGAAGAGTTCACCCGTGGCCAGGACGTGCATCTATAGTTGACACATGCTCTAGTGCAACGAATTGCACGTTGACACGTTGCAACGAATGCACTCTACCCTTCGCATTTATATTCCATTATATTCTCTTCTTCTACCACTTCTTTTTCTTCCTAGACTCTCTCGTTCTTGCAGAACTTCGCAACTGCCTAGAAGACTTTATATACCTTTACCAACTCTCCTACTCCCTTACGGGATGGTTCTAGATGCAACCTCATCACCGGTCATCGCTCATTACCTTTTAATCACCGGACTGAGTCTCCGAAGCCTGACAGCACGAACCTGGTGCGTGACTGGAGCCACTACGTTTTATTAAGCAGCGCCAAGTGTAACAGTACCGCGAGAAATCTTTGAGAGTACCACTATTGACTTTTACGTCACGGTTTAGGTCGCGAAGGATAATCTTGAATGTGGAACATAACGTAACTTGAGAATTTTATCACGAAATCAGATTGTTAATATTGTATAGGCGGACCAATCGTGTAGTTGGATACTAATTGACAAGGACAAATTCTTAGTGGATGCTTAATAAGTTTTTAATTGACCAACCGAGCAATTATGGAAATTCTTCTTGCCGAAGGAGAGATCATCCAACTACTTTTCACGCTCGTATTTATGGTTCCTGTCCTCGCCGTTAGCAATAACCGTCAGCTTTGTTTGTTATAAACGAAGCCGCTGCCTTTCACACATTGTCCGGTGCAAGTTAATCAGGGCCCGTCTCCGCCGCCTTGTTATTAATACGTAATTGAATGTTGCGATTCATTACCCGGACATTATATTTCAACTCGGCACGTAAGCTAAGGCTAAGGCTTGGTTCATACTCGGAGTTTGCGGAAATGACTCGGCCGCCCCTTTTGCCAAGCGTTGGGAATCTAAGAATAAGGCAAAACCATCCTATACCTTGGAATAAGGTTTCCGTCGCAGTAACTTTATTTTCCTAAGAATAAACTGCAGAGTAGAAATAAAAAATATGGATCAGTGAAACAACCTTTACAGTTCGACATTGTGGATATTATCGAGGGAATATCAGTTAATCGAAACGGAAGTCTTTGACGAACAAGTTGATGAAAGTCAATTAGTATATTAAAGGAATAAATAACTGGGATTATTTGTTTATTGAGATTCAAATAAATCAATTCAAAATGTTTAACCATTTCTATACGTATTGTGGATTGTCGACGTGTGAACGGAGTCTTAGGTGCGCCGAGCGGTTGCAGCAGCCGCATCTCCCAGCAACCACCGGCGCTGCCCTTCGTCATGAATATTCATGGTTCACGGATTCATGGATTTCCTCCGTGTACGCAAGCGTGCGTTGCTCCCAATTTGTCACACACCATGGCATTATCCCATTTCGTTAATAAAGTAATACTACATGCCAGCGTCGCGACGACCGATTTACCTGTTTAGCAAGCAGAGCGGATGGCAATTATGCAACTCGGCGATTGCACGGCGCTTGTCGTTAAGAATAATCGTTTACGATCGGGACAAGATTTTTTTTTATCAGGACCATCATCGCAATACCTATTCAGAATTGATCATGGGTCAATAGGATTAGGATTAGCCCACATTATCTTAAACATTTGGTACAGTGATAAAAGGAATGAAATTTTATCTGTTTCAGGACTATGGCATCGTACAGACTGAATCCTGAGAGATCAGCAGGACAATCAGGGAGATCATGTCAGGTGAGTAAGCAAGTCCGGGTGGCAGTCTATTGTTCACCGTCATTCGTTTTCTCGCTCATGTAAACGCGATCGTCGCTATCTGAACGCGGCTCGCATAAATGTGGGTAGGCGAAGATAGGACGAACGATCCTGATTCCAATCCTGAATCGTAGATGGTGAACACGGACAAACCTGTGTGCCTGTTCGCGCCTACGCGACCAATACGAGTCGATCGGCATTGGATTTATCGTGAGGTTTTCTCAGCTAGCAGGTAAGTCCCTGATGTCTGAGCGATCTGGGACTGATCCAAATCGACTAGTCGTTACTCGAAATCCGCGAGATCCAGGAATCGCAAAAAAAAAAAGATATAGCAAGACCATAGTAGACACTCATTGTCGCGACATCGACCTGAGAAAAGGAACACGCGAATAGTCAACGGGGTATAAGAGTGAGAAGAGTCGCCGTGAAGAACCCAGTAAGAAGGGACAAAATAAAAGTGGTGGAAGGCGTCGAGCGAACGCGAGTACGCGTCGGTCGTGTATGTAACCAACGGTAATCCAACTTTCACGACGTCGTGGACACTGATTTTACGCGAGATACATAAATGCAAGGGACTGTACAGACGCCGAATAAATTGTCCGTGGTTACTCGCGAGTAACTCTACCCTCTGTTCTTTGAGGATTCTCAGGAATTTTCCTCAAGGCAGTTTAACACGGTGCAATTCACGGGTGTACCCTGTTTCCGTAGAGTAATAATAATGCACCTAGTGGAGTATCCATCCTTGGAAGAAGATATGCCATATAAAAGGTTCTATGAGATGGAATAAAAGAGAAATGAGAAAAATTCGTGAATCGGGGAATCGGCTGATCGACGATTGGCTGGATGCGTTACACTGGCAACTGCGGTTGCGTCACTACGGTATCACGTAGCCCATGGACGAACACGACTTTAGCTTTCCGAGGACACGGGGACTTCGGTAGGAGTCCAAGGTGCGTCCCCGGACATGGGTTGCCCATTAGGTGGACCCGAGCGCAATCAGATTAGATTCCGTTTCATTCCGTACGAGCGGTACGGACCGCTCTGTTCGGTTCCGTTCCATTCCGCTCGCAACAATGCCCGCGGAAGATTCTACCCACTTCCTGGATTCGTGAATCTCCTGGTGGACCCTAGAACGATCACATCAAAAGAGTCTGGTTCTTTTCCAGAGTTTACCTTCTCGGGTACACCCTGAGCATAGGTAGAGACATGGGATGAACTCGGTGAAGATTCGATTTCCACGGACAATGATAAAAGTCAGGTTCGGAATACACGATTTCATGTTATCCAAGTGTACCTGTACAAAGAATCACCTGACCTTTCAACTTGGACTTGGGTCGGAGTCAAAGGCATTCAGACTTCCTCGACCACCCGGAAGTCCCTTACTTGTCTGCCATTTTATTCCTCGGACCAGAGATTCCAAAAGGCTCAGTCCTGACTCCAGATACTATAGCTCAGATAGGAAGAGGATACAGAGGTGCGAAAGGGAGATAAAATGAATCCAAGAGAGTTTCTTCCACTTGTTATTCCTCTTCTTCCTCTTAGTCGTACCAAATGCCATTTGTCCCGGCCATTCCCGGTAAGGGACTCGACTCGTTAGGCGAATAAATTCAATTGGAGAAGGTGCTTTTTGCCGATAGCTCGCGGCACGCAATGCGTCTTGGCGACACTGCCGTCGCTTTAGCCTGCCGCGTCGGTATGTCGTCGTAGTAGTCGTTGTCGTCAGCGTCGTACCTACAAGGCGTTACCAGAGAGAAAACTTTCCCGCGTACGTGTCGCTTAGACGTAGCGAAGAGTCCTCGCGGGGAGGGAGACAGAGTTGGTGGTGTAATGTGAGAATGAGCTAAACAGAGGAAGAGAATGACAGAGTGAGAAGCAGAACTGCATCGGCGTCCAGTGGCGATCGGTAACCGTGACCGGTGCCACTGATGATGCGATATCTTTGCAAAAACTCGGTAACAACCTGGCTGAACGTTATGCCCCGCCATGCGAGGCCTTCCGTGGCTGAAGGCCGTGCGAAGAACATGTGAAGAAGTCTGCGACCAATGCTGCCCGTCTAATGCTCTCTCTGTACTTAACGCCAGAGGATCACACGCTCGTACTCCAAGTATTAAGGTATATTAGAATCCCGGTCAGAAGAAAAATCTGTGATCGGCCGCAAAAGAATGTGCTGCTGAGAATTAAAGGAGGCAGGTTCAAGCTGTGGACCAGGGCCATCGGTATCCGGACTGCAGTGAAGATAGCGACGGTGAAGAGGTGCGAGGAGGAAGTGCACGAGGACCAGTTGTAGAGAATGAGGAATGAGAGAAGGAAGGAGAGGAGAGTGTAAGAGAAGCGATGCTGCACGCGAGCCTCCTGGTGGCCGCTTGTCAGCGCTATCTCGGCCCTTTCGACTTCCAAGCTTACACGTTTTCAACTTGGTTCTCATTGGTACGAGGAACGAAGGTAGACCTGCATCCGCGTCTTTGGGTGATGTATATCGAGCGCCTTGGCGACAATCATCGAGCAACGCGCTCGCTCACGGAGCCAATTACAAGGGTACGCACGCCACCAAATCGGCCAATCGAACGACAGCAGGTACGGACAGACGTATACGGAGAGAATTTTTCATTAAGTATTACCGTTAAATTCGCGGTATTCACGGGACATGGTATTTCATAACATACTATCTGTATATTGAAGAGTAATTCACGAAAATGACGGAAAAAAAAGCATAACACGTCAGATGTTACTGAAGTGTAGGGTAAAAATGTCAAAACTTAAAAATATGTAGTGTCCAACTTAAGGTTTTACCTTGTTGAATTTAAGAAGTCCGATTCGCTAAGAAATGCTCCCGATTTAGTTTAAAGGGACAACTCGAGGGAAGGGATAAGCGTTATCGGCTACAAGGATCTGGACCAATCGGAATGATTAGTTCCCGAATTTGACCATTGTCAATTGATTGTTTTAAAGCAGTCTATCTTGGGACACCGATCAAGGTGCCTCGAGCTACCTCGCGCTCCCGGGTTATCTGTTGGTAGTTTTCTTTTCGCAGTTTTTCATACACGGTATATAACGCCTCGCTTGTGTGTTCTCGCGTTGCTCTCGCTTTATCCAGAAAATCCTATAGATTTTCTCCGTGTGTTTCGGAAGTGCAGTGTTGTGCTATAGTGCAGTGCCTATCTCAGTGTCCCCTGGATGCAGTTCCCGGCCTTCACGGATCAGCTAAACCAGCCCCGGTGAGCACTCAAAATATATGTTATAAGCAATAAGTAATGAAACGGTACCTACGTCCCAGGATTACTGGTTTCTACGATAAATTTAATCGAGAATTTCCCAGGAAAAATTACCAAAAAATTCTCCGTGTCGCGAAAGAAACGCGTGTATTTTGCCTTCGCCAGTCTCATTTTCTCATGTGTATCGGCATCTTTGGATGACGGCCATTGACATTAGTCGATTACGCCATTGCTTTCGAGCAACGATAACTTGCGTTGAAACGAAGTGAAAAGAAAAAAGAAAGTTGATGAACCGAAATGGGCGAAAGGGATGAAGACGAATTTCTCGCGTCCTCGGATGCTGCGAACGGGGGTTGTCTCTGGTGTTATCGGAGTGCTCTGCTACGCCACTACTACACTGCTGTGTGCACTGGTTTCCGTCTAGCTCGGAGGTATTTGATATTGACTTCTCGAGGCACAGCTTTGAACTCTGGGCACCCTGGAGCCCACCAAACCTCGAGCCCTCTGGTACGTTTAATTAAAAAGCTTCGTACGTGATGCACCCCTTGAACCACCTTCGTTCCATCCCTCTCTTCCGAGCCTAGACCTTCTGGCTATGCGATATATACGTCGATAGTCAACCACCCTTTGCAGCTTTCTCTCGTCTGATTCTACTCGAGATCTCCATTCCGTCCGGAATGTTATCCCGCACGTTCTGCATTTCCACGCGTGTTAACTATTTCGAGTCTTTGCCTTCAAACGCACAGAAGGAATTTCCTCGGATCACTTTTTTCATCTTTTGTTTTATCCCTTCGTACGGCTTGCTCGAATTCATGCTCCGCACTGCTGTGTAAATTCTAAGTTGAAGAATAAATATATGGGTAGCAGAATAAATTTGAGAACGTAAGTAGGCATGTAGTGAAAATAATGGGCGGGTTGTGACTGCTGTTCGAAACGAACGAATAGGGCCGCTAACTGAGCTTGTCGACGTACGACTTTATTTACCTGCATCAACATCGTTTACGTGAAAAATGCAAGGCTGCAATGTTTTCCAATAATAACAATTATCCACGAGAGACTTCATTACTAATTCGCCCCGGGCTGCCTCTATTCTTTATTTATGGACAAGCTCATTATTTCTGTGCAGGTAAGCATATGAAAAATTCTCTTTCTCTCCTCTCCTCCGCGCTGGCTCTCCATCCACGTCAAGTTCTTTCCTTTTTCGATATTTTTCTCTTTTCTCTCTATCCTCATCATCCACCGTCTCTCACGTCTCATTCTCATCTTCGTTCTCATACACCCTTGGCTTTTTTTGCGAAGCCCAACAACCAAGTCACGGATTGTTAAATTAACTAGCGCCAAACGGGCACAAGGTGTACGTTTTCACCAGGGCGAATTATCTCGAGCGCGAAAGTACAAGTCGTGGATGCGCTAAAGCAAACGAGCGAAAAGTCATCTAGAAATGCACATAGAAGTCCAGTGGGCCCCAGGCGCTTTCGAGACTCCAGCATCCCTCCTTGTGCCTCCATCGCACAACTAGTAATGCTTGTGTACCTTGAGAAAGATGATCGAAAAGCATCCCTGCGATTCGCCAAGTTAATAAATATTCGCGAAATCAATCAAGGAGTTCAGCGTACGTCCCGCTGCTTTCAATATAACCGACGGCACGGCTGGCTTAATAAGAAACCAGAGCCTTATAAATGACCGGTAAATATTCATGTCGAGGCTGCGTACGCCGCTGTTATGCAGATGAGCTAGGATACCGCATACGTATATTTATACGTATATCTA